CGCCTTGGAGATGATATTGCAGAAAGGCTCCTATCTGATCCAACCTAGCCTTCTATGTACCATCCTCGGACCCGTCCGAGATGATAAGACACTGACTTTACATTGACAGCCCCCGCAGGTCATTGCGTAGGCCACATCGCATTCAATAAGCCATACGTTTTTGAATGGAGGGAAAATGGGTGCCGCGTCCCAAGAAGGGCTTGATCAGCTGCGGAGACTTCATTCGTTCTACTTTTATGACCAACCAAGAAAACTTCAACAGGGAGCTTATAACGATCTTCGTCGCTTTTCGAAGTTGCATGAGTGACACACCTCAATATGCAATTAATTGGATAACACTAACCAATTTATCCATTATCATTTGTGCAAGCACAAAACACATGGATTGCTCGTTTAGGCTTCAACAGAATGGCAACAGACCGAATGAGTACGTTAGTTCATGGTATTACTGGTACAACTGAAGAGAAGGAACGAAAAAGGAAATCAAACAAATAGGTAGTTTACCAATAGGCATGTTTTCCTCACTGAAGAAACGGTACAATGACATTACTATAAAAGCACTTTTATCACGAACTAAACAATTTGTTGATCCCGCAATTGCGGAGGGCACTGCTCAGCGCTAGATTCGAGGTATAGCATCGTTGCGAAAACCCCACCAAGGGGCGGGTTTTGGACAACGTGGGTTTCAACAGAAGATTTTCCAAACCGCCAAAGAAATATTCGGTGGTTGAATTTCCGCGCTTTTGCTGAATCATGTGTTTAATGCTACCCTTCCCTGTGCCATCCCCAATGAACTATGAGTTGAAATCAGTAGTTAATCGGTGCAACTCTCCCGCAGTTTGTTGGGAAGAAACCCCAAGATTTCGAAAATGCACGTGTTAGGAAGTTGGGGAGATGATAGGTAGGATGGGCAGAAGATGATCGTCCCGTGGAAGAAACATTGCATGGAGTGCGTCTGACATCTCCATTTCACCAATCCCGATGAAGGCACGCCCTGCTGTTGAGGAAAACTTGCGAAATAGGACCCCTCATAATTTGCTCCTCTAGTGCTTTTGCGAAATAGTCCCTCGTAATTTGCTACTCTAGTGCGGACCCCTAATCCTACACACCACCGCTCTAAGGTTCCGCAATTCCTTACCACCTTTTCCCCAGGAAGTCCGTCGAGCAAAGAAGGGTCCATAGCAGCCGTGCGCACGTGAGACATTGTAATAGAAAGACCCGAGAAAAGTGAGCAGCAAAAGAAAAATATTCCAAAGTCAAACGCGGCCGTATCTCTCCCTCCAGCAACCAAGTGGGACTCGCTCGCGGGCGATACCCAACATAAGGCGTGCCCTATGCTGTAACTTTGCTAAAATAGGTGGGTGACAAGCAATGCTTGAGTCGTTACACCTTTCTCACTTAAAAAGTCAAGGCTGTCGCTGCAAAAAGCTTCGAAGAAACACCGGTTTATCCAAGCAAGAGCTCAACTGTGGAGCTGCTGGTACTATTTCGTGCTCAGTCCTTATACCTATAGGTGCTTCGGTAATGGATCAAGCAGAACTTCCCATGCTCTCTGTCGTATTGTCTAAGGATTTTGTTGTGATGATCTTCTAAGGGGGACCTGTACTGTAGTGAATGACACTGCGTTGGCAGCCACAATAGCGGATGTAGTAAGATACACTGAACTTTTTGATAAGCAGTGACCGATATTCTTTAAGAAAGAAAATGGTGACAAGCGGACTAAGAAGAGGGAATAGTGCCCACAGCGTCTGACAGGAACACATGAAGACCGGACCGGTTGTACTGCCCGTGAACATGAAAACATACTGCGCCATTGCTGGTGTATGAAGCAGCAGAAGTGGGCAGACTGTCTGCAATAAACCATAGTACAATAATTTTATGAACGACAAAAAGTAGAATAAATATTAGCCATCCCAAAACAAATTAGAGGGAATACCTAAAAGCCGAACAGGAAGCACTTTTAGGTTAATAAATTTTTTTTGTTAGAGGTAACCTAACACATACCGCACACGGACAAACAAATTAAAATTGCTTCCAACCCTCGATTTCTTTCCTTCATTGTGGTCCTGCCAGTCCCTTTCAGACCACATTTTCGGAAATTCTCCCGCGAACACGGTAGAAATTTAGTCACGCAAAACGAAGTTACCTTTCAAAACCTCCCCACCATATCCTCCATCGCCCAATACCCATTTGAAACTGTGCAAATGACGAATGCACTAATCGGAAAAATCACCTATCAGAGAAAGTTGCTGCCACGCCCCCTCCTACCCCTGCGGCCGGAATGCAACCCCTCCGTTGTTTTTCACAGCTTATGGAGTTCCCGAAAAAAGCGTTATCTACAGAGGAAATCACCTGAACCACAAGCAAGTTGTTCATACGGCGTTGCATCGCTTTTGCTTGGTTGCTGACTGATGACTTCTTCAGCGTAATGTTGATTTGCACAGCCCAGTAGATACAAACGCCAGCCAACAATGAAAGTGTGATCATCGAGTCAATGACGAAAGCGAATTGAATCTTTCTGATGTGAGGCTGCAAAAGCACGCACAAATGGGTTTCAAACACAGCTTAAGCTTCGAGAAGCAGTATTCTTCATCTTCTTACTCCTTGCATCCTCGACATCCTCTTATGGTTTTGTACACCTGCATCTTGTTCGCTGCGAACACTTACATGTTTTAGTGGGTCTGGGTTTGGCGCTGCGCCGGACCGTTTTCCACCCCACCTTTTTCATTTGCTGCCGCTTACCCGACCCCCCACAAATCCTATCCGCAGCCTCAACGTGGCGTGGGGGTGAACGGTTTGGACTGTTCCAACACCGTACCAATGCGGAGGGTGCCACGTCAGAGCCTGGCGAGCTACGCGTGGTTAAATTTCTTCTCGCCGAAAACAGTAATAATTATGGGCCTCATTCCCCTGAACCTGAGGGAACCACCGACAGGGCGACGTCGGCTGGGACCGCTC